AAAAAAAATAACATTGCTGGTGGGCTTGGTACAACTCAGTGGTCATGAAACTAGTTGGAATCAAACACCGATCAGGGAACTGAACAAGTCTAATTTCAAGAGCACTCCAATGTAGCCAAATCACGGCGACCAACCCCATTCGTCAAGCATGGTTCTTTCGCTGACGAACTCGCCCTCGATTGAGAGCTCATTGCTAAGCAACTCTTCGGATAACAACTCGCATTCTTGCACGAAGCTCTCCTACAGGGCACCATCAGTCAATATGGTTGCAAGAACAAACAAAAGTCAACAAACTTGTAACTTGTCACATAGTCATTTTTTGGGGTGCGACGTTGCGACAACAGTTGTTGTCTAATTATTGCTGTGTTTTGTTTCTCGCAAAACGCCACAACACTGATCCCCAGTTCCCCCAGTTTTGACATCAACCATCTCCCCATCGAAACCACAGCTTTGAAAGACCTTCAAGATCTTGTCCCTTCCTTTGCCTTTCTTGTCTTGATACATCTTACGGATGTTGTCAGCAACCCTGTACTCCCCTGTTCTAGGGTTTGGCAAGAAAACACGTCTCAATCTCAAATTGATAGCATTTTCTGATATCAGGAGTGTGCCAGGTTCTGGACTGGCTGCACCTTTGTCCCCCACAAAAGGAACATGACCCAAGCCATGGTCACTGGTTTCACTGGCTGCCGCGCGGCAAGGCGTGGCAATGGGTTGGGTCTTCACAGCGAGCAGAGGCTGGACCTTTGGCTGGGTCTCGGGGATGACAGCTGGAGACACAGGGGTTTCGGCGACGCCCCCTCCAGTCTGAGTGGCCTCTACCCGGGGAATAGCCTCAGCACGGAGGAAACATGCAAACCAGATCCCAGTTTGTTGTATTGAACCAAAGGACACATAATCCGATCCTAGGAACAATTGATTCAACTGGAACTTGACCTTCAGCTTCATAATGCTGAGTCCTTTGAGAACCTGTCTCTGCATCTTCAAGTTCAGTCTCAACGTCGGAGTCTGTCAGTTCGATTGTGATTCCTTGGGGTTGAGAGGTACTACCTGGAGGAACTGGAAGGGCCAGGACTGGTGATCCTGGAACAGTCTCTTGCTCCGGAATCGGTATCTCTGAAGAAGCATCCAGTGCAAAGGCAAAGCGTTCAGGTTCCAGCCCAGCTTCCCGCAGAAGTTGTTCAGAGATACTTTGGTCTAGCTCTGAAATCTCTTGCTTCATCGCCTACATTGGGGAGGGGTTGGAGGACTACCGCAAGTGGTGCATCCTTGTTTTGCATCTATGATTAAATGGTAGCGGTAAACCTTTGTCAACCAGTACTTGTTGCTGCAAAAACACGACTCCTTTAGACAAGTATTTGTTTTTACACTAGAGTCATTAGAGGCTGAGTGAAGCGACCGGTTCCCAGTGTGTGCATTGTGCTTTTCTACCTATCCTTTGTAACACCATCTATGGGAAAAAAGGACAACATCTCCAAGATCCCCAAATAGAAAACAACATCACAGGTTTCCAACCCTGGACCTGCAGCTCACGAACCAACTCAGGGTCACTTGAAGGATTCAGCTCTGCTGAGGGTTGGCCAGCAACACTGCGTACTCCCCGGAGTAGCGTCTCCGCTGACCACGAGTTTCCCAGCCGGCCGTCAGCCATGTAGGATTGAGAGGGGACTGTGTGATCGTACAGGCCACCACTTCCCTACAGATGCCCTTGATAAAAAAAAACACAGGTGAAGCAGTTCACAAAATCCGACAAAATCAAAACCTTGTCTTCTACATTGCATTGACCTCTCAAATGCTCACATCTAGTTCTTGCAACGACTGCGATGACCCGCCGCAGGTGTTTTCCAAGACGCGAAGATCAACACGCCCAGGCTGGCCATTACCAGTCGCAACACCAATTGGCAATCGAATTGAAGAGGGCACAAATACCAAACTCTGTCAAGATAAAGCATGTTAAAAAGACACTGTTTTTTTTTTTCGCCGTTTGGTCGTGGTTTTTCGCCGTTTCGTCGTGGTTTTTCGCCGTTTCAAAAATACAACAAAACGGAAAAGAATGCATCAAAGGCTATCCAGATCCAAAACTAACGAGCGAACACAATACATTTGTTCTCAGAGATAGGTAAACCCTCTGAATCTACCCAAAGGAAAATTAGCTTTGGCAGCTGCATCAAAGTCTTTCCAATCTGGAGGAATGACATCGCTAAATTTGGAACCCCATACATAAAGGAAGCATGGGCCAAGACATGACTCATCCCAAGATGTCCACCCCGCTCCGAGCAAGGCCTCCTGTAGAGACGGTCCAGTCTCTACCTGAGCCGGAAATGTTGGGACGGGAACGAAGGTTCTTTTTGAATAATCGGTTTCAACTATGTTTGACAAGGCGCAGGGAGGTTGAAGGTAAAAGACCCTTCTGAACGCATCTGGGGAATCAACTTCACAATGGACTTGGCAAACATCACCGGATAGACCCTTGGATGACCAAAATTACGCTTTGATAAGCCACATGTAGTTTCAAAGGGTGGATGCCACTACCAAAACCTTGTTCTAATTAAAACCAGAAACTGTGACAGCTTGAGTGCCTTTGTTCCTGCATAGGCTGTACGGCCTTTGGAGTCAATGTACTTACGACATAGGCCTTTTTTGGTGCCAGAACGTTTGGCCTTCTTCCCATGAAACTGCCGGAAGCACCGAGAACTTGTCAACAACATGGTCTTCTTCTCGGTGGCGCTTCCAAAGGCTTTCATGTGGAAGCCAGCTTTGTAGACCTTGTTTTTTTTGCGCAATACGTGCTCAGGCCAAAAATCTCACAGCGGTGTGATTGTTTTTAACCCCCGGAGGGGGGGTCCCCCAACCATGGGCCCAGCCTTTTGGTTTTGTTTCTCTCAGTGGGGTTGGGGGGGGGGTTGCAATTTGCACACAAGCCGTCTCTCATTGAGGCCAAAAGTCTTTGGCGCCAGCCCGGCGGATTGCCGCAAAGCACCATCGAAGGCGCGGGTGCAAACAGATCACTGATCCGCCCGGGTTTTCAAGAAAGAAATAGCCCTCCAGAACAAAAGTCAAGAGTATGAGCAGTGATGTCCTGCACAAATGGAGGAGACCTTTCCGCTCTACAAACAACATCATTGCAAGACAGATTGCAGAGAGATGGGGAGAGACACCAAAACATGTTTTGAATTGCAACTGTTGCTTATGCAGTCCTTGCAACCATCCGATTACCGCGAATGACTTTGGTGTTGTTGCAATCCCCGTAGGGGTTCAGCTCTGTACGTTTGCTTGTTGCTAAGTTCACTGGCGACCAACTGCTGCATACCACTGCCCATGTGGTAATGAGGCCAGGCCACTTGCCATGTAAGATCATGATGATGCAAAGCCTGGGATTGCCAGACCCGTGGGGAATTTGACCCTACCCCTCAAGTAGGAGGCTTTCAAAAGGGAAGGGTAACAATTCCGAGGAACAACATACCAGCTTCCCCGTTCATGTCAAACGAAGATCTTTTAGGCAACTCTGAGTGCGTGGAGTATCCTTCTGGAGCTGGGTCGTGGTTGATGTCGTATGCACGACTGACAAAGCCGCAGCTATGAGCATATGTAGCAATCCGTCCAACTCCTGAAAAAAATTCCACCAAGTCAAGACCGCCACAGTCTTGGATATCTTTCCAAGAAAACAGCTCGGATGACATCAGCCACCACGCGATGAGCACGAGGTAGATGAAATCCTTGGACCCAAAATGACCCACTACTATAGGTGGCTATTTTCCATTGGTCTCTTGTGTAGTGACCATTGATGACCAGTGTATGTATTGATTCTTCAAACCTGCTATTGATTTGATCCACAGTCTTTTGCCACTTTACTTCAATCCGCAACTCCAAAACAAAATCTAGAGTCTGTAGGCACTCCAAGGGCCAGCAAACGCCTGCAGGCAAGATCCAACCTCTCCTTTGTGATGGTCATGGCGATCGATGTCAAAGGAACCTTGAGCCAAGCCCTGAGAATGGCAGTTCCAAGGTGGCGCGTGACGGTTGCAAAGCCAGAAAGCTCACTAAGTGAAGTGACATCCACTCTTGGTGGCTAAAAAGAAAATTCCAAATCAAGACGGGCACACCTTCACACACAGCGCCAAAGTTGGCAAATGTGGTCTGTCCTCTGCGCAGCTTTGACATCCTGCATGATAGATTGTTGGCACGAACGAACGAGAGCTAGCAGGTTGTCCAGTCCTCCATGGGCCGTGTCTAAAACCACTGCAGCCCCAGAGCCATGTTGCACCTGGCAGGGCCGACAAAAAAATCAACGAAAGGTTTCCAGATGTTGACTTGGTATGTTTGCAGAAGGTGTGTTTTTCATCTCTATCATTTAAGGATGCGCTGCTCTTCACTCTCGCCACCTGCAGGTGTTTCAAAGAATGTCAGGGCATGTGGTTTCACACAGGCCTTCCAAATTACTGGGGCACCCTCCCACAACCATGCTAAGCAGTTGGGATTCAGTGGTTCCACGTTCAAACCTAATCCAAGATGGAATTTGCCGTGCCAAGAAAGGCGCCACCAGTGTCAATGGGTGTCAAAATCTCCGCTACAAATCGTGTGATGAAACAACGGACTTCATGAGAGGAAGCCAATTGGCTAACTGCACAGGGATTAGTCGCAGACCCCAGCGTAATGCGCAGACAATCGCTGCTCAGATCCAAGGCTGTCCTCTACCAAGCTCTTCACCACAGACTCACGGAAGGGCTTCCAGCTCTCGGGCTTCCTTCAGGCATGGGCCTGGGATCACTTCAGAGAAGAACCATTGGGATTGTTTAGTCTTGCTGCTTTTGTATTGCGATTTGATTATAACTATAGCCACAAGTCACCAGCTAGGTTACAGCTTTGATTTAGGTTTCAAAAGCAGTCGGCAAAGCTTCAAATAAAGACATAGTCAGTCTAGGCACGGACTGTCTCCATGTCCAAGAACTCTTTCACCAACTTGTAAGCGACCTTGCAATACTCTTCGTAAGTGGTCACCTTCGATTCCTTGAAGGCGCGAGTGCACAAAGTAAACCACGGGGCCTGCAGTTGCAGCCAAACAGTCAACACCTGCTAGGCCCATGATGAGGAATAAGGAGTTTGAAGAGAACATTAATTAAAACCTTCGAAACAGATTTCCTTGGCGGCTTGAAAAACAGTTGGCGATTTGAAAAACAGAACATAACGCCGGGAACAGTCCTGAAGCAAAGACTGTCGGTTCACCAAGCCGGCGATGTCGGACATGAACACGTCCTTGATGGCTTCGAAGCGAGTCGCTGCATCTTCTGGGACCGGCTTGTAGCGCCTGGCGAAGGTAGGCCCCTTCCCGCTCTCCTTACCCTCCTCAGTGCTCTTCTGGCGCTTTGCTTCGCAGTCCTCATTGGCAGCATTCTTGCCCTTGCCCTCTTTGGACTTTCTGGCTTTGGGTTTCGCTGAAGCTTTCCCTTTGGCCTTCCCTTTGGCCTTAGCTTTCGCTTTGGCCTTCCCTTTGGCCTTAGCTTTCGCTTTGGCCTTCCCTTTGGCCTTAGCTTTCGCTTTGGCCTTCCCCTTGGCCTTTTTGGCCTTCCCCTCCGCCTCTTCCCCATCTGTAGGCTCATCCTCAGTTACATCACCATCAGTCCGAAACGGCGCTTGCAATTGCTCCCGCCGAAGAAGCACAGGCACCTGCACAAGGCTGGAGTACCGAGTTCATGAAAGGCGGATCTGTCAATACAATGATACACTAATGATGATAAACTATTGTATTTTTCATGAGGAGGCGAGACAGGCTAGCTAACTATCTCCAAAAGTTACCCAACCACACATAGGTTTTATAGTTTAAAATGCTGCCTGCTCCTGCAGCTCCATCATCTTCAGCACATCCCGATTAGCGGCATTCTTGGAAATAGTTTTCTCAACCTTTGCCAGATTGGCGCTGTAGCTGCTCTTGTCATGGGTGTCCATTGCGCTAGTCTTGTCAGCAGGAGTTGGATCTGACATGTCCCCCTCCTTGGGTGTGCCATTTGCTGCGCTGGCAGCAGCGGAATCTTGCAGTTCCTTTCAGGATCTCAAAGGTCAAAGGTACGAATGCTTTTTCTCAAGCCCTAAGCAAAGGTGTTGGCCACCTTGCCCCTAGCGATTGGATTCTACATTGGTAAAACATTATGTTTGAGCAAAGTCCTGGCTCTGCTCCTCCGATACTGCCATCTCGGCATCCCCAAGCTCCAAGTCTACCACCGAGCCGTGCAAGGCAGCAGCAGCTTGCAAAGCACTGGAGGCCGGGTCAGCGAGCTCCATGGCAAGGGTATCCATGTTGTCGATGGATTGTCCTCACATAACATTGCTTTGTTTGATTTTAGGTTTTCAGACAAACAGTAGAAAAAGCACTCAGGTTTGACCAAGAGGCCAGCAAAAAGAAAAACTAATTGTTCCTTTCAAGTGTTTTGTCAAGAGGCCACGTGAAAACGCCTCCGCTTTGCTCCGTTTGGCGGCAGCAGCCAGAAGCCTACAGGGTCCCAGTAAAAAGGAAATCTCAAGAAACAGAAAGAGATAAGTAAGGTCTGTTGGAAAACGATCAGAGTTTGCCAATACCTAACACCACTACAAGTGATTTTTTTTGGTAGCCCCCCACCGAACACGTCGCAACTTGTCCACCAAGTCATCCCTGATCTGGGACAGCTCCTCCCCAACCTCCTTTGGGTCTGGGCCAGCCACAGCACACTCATGAGGACCTCGTTCACCGCAAGCGGCGCAGGAAGTGGGAAGATCGGCAGTTGCACCTGGAAGATCTTCGGAATCAGCGGGGGCCTCACCACCGGTGATGGCTTGGGAATCATTCAGGTCCACAGGATCCACAGGTTGAGGGCCACAGACCTTTGGCTCATCATCCGGAAGTTGAGGATCAGTGTCATGGACCTGTTGCACCTCATCCGCCTCATTCACAGGTTCAGCACCACCCATTGCCATGATCATTTGGGGAAGGGATTGGCCACCATCAATCTCATCGTCATCCTCAAACCCATACGGGTCACCGTGTTCAACGGGAAGGGCATCGGCAGCCCCCCAATGGTGGTCAAAGATGTTCCACAACGGCGCCAAAACTGGATCCTGGGGCAGCGGAGGAGAGTGGTTGCATAAATCACGGAGTTGAAACAAGTCTGAGGCTAAATTAGACTCGCTGTTCCAAAATTGTTCAATTGGAATGCCGAGTATCTCGAGGTGCTTTACTTCCGGCTAGCCATCTCCGAAGCACGTGCGACAGCAAGCGCTTCAACCCCCAAGCATCGCAATGCAAAGCCCCTGAATCGGTCTCAAGGGCGAATAGCGTCCGGAAAGCGCGCACCTGCAAGGGGTGTAGGCGATAAACCAAGTTCAGGTTGGGCCTTCATGTGTTTATACTTTCCTTCCAACCTGAGGGACACCTTAGTAAACATGGAGCAGACTTTCCTATTTGATAAAATGATACCAAACCCTCATGCTCGAATTTTGACCTTCAAGCAACTGGCCTCCTTCCTGCAAACATTGATTGGGATAGTTTGTGGCAGTGGCATTTGTTGGGCCCACCAATCAGAAAGATGAGAAAGAACTGCGATGTTCGGCTTGGCTTGTTCACAAGATGCCACCCCAGCTAGGGAAGGCTTCGTCCATCGGACCAAGTGGCCTTGTGCCGATTCCCTCACCAATTGGTGGACTATTGGATCTGCTTCCCAACGCGAGGCAAGAGACACCATAGCTGGCCACACTGCAAGTATTTTGTTTCCCGTTGGAAGCCTCAACCCTTGAGCTTTAAACAAGAACCGGTAAATTGATTCATGCAGCTCACATGTTTGATGGAGCCTGATGCAAACCAGCCGGCAGCACCAAGGTGAACGCGACGCTCCAGTGGCAGCAGAAAAAATGAACTGCTGCAAAGCTGGCGTGCCCATGTATGGGAAGGGAGATGAAGGAAGTAAGTGGTGCAAATTAATGGTCATGATTCATAATGGTGGCCAATAGTGTGGCCAATGTTTGTCCATGCCTACAACCTTTGAATTGTTCATGTTCTAGCCTTCCAGAAGGCCTCAGAGCCCACACAAACTATCAAAAAACACAGAAGACCAAATATCGCTCGAGAGCAAAAATGATTGCTCGAAGCAATCTTTATCCAAACAGCAGAAATTCTGCAGGTGTTGGATGTCGCAGGTATAAAAGCTGAAGGAAATATTTTAGCGACTTCCAGCGTCGACCTGCCAATGTGGCACGGAGTGGGGAGTCGGTGCAGAGCCATGCTGGAAGATGAGTAAAACAGACTTAAACATGCAGAACACCTTGAAGCTAATAGATACAAATACTAATCCAAAAGCCAATGGTATCCATCATCCAGGTCTCACATGAGCTCATTCTGTGTCTCCCTCGACCATCAACTCAACAACTGACGACCTGCTGCTTGGACCACAAACTCAAACTACAAACCTCTACTGCTACATCAACCCATCAAAAACAACCGTCAGCCCCTAATCGATTGGGCCTAATCGAACAATGCGTTCTTGGCATTTCACAGGCTCTGGTGCTCTTGGCAGCTCTTTCAAGGCATCGTCGATCAACGCCTGCCGGACTCGTGGCGGCACGGAATCGGCACCGAGCCCGAATCAACCTGGATCACCCAGGTCAACTGACCCGCAGGTATTGAAGTATTGAACCTTTGCAGCAACAACAGCTCTAAGGTCAAACATCTAGTGAGTCTATGTGAATGTAGTGTTGCTATGTACTTCTCACATAGTGCAAGTCAGGGACTTGCTGTTCCAACCAAATTCCGTCTTTGAATCTTCCCTTCCGTCTAGCCGACCAAAAAGCTCGGACACCTTAACCATGTCGTTCTGAGTCTTTCACTTGACGCCCATTCCAAACGCGAAACAAGCACCGTCCTAAGCACCGTGCTTGTCACACGCGTGAGTAGCGTCGCCTTCCCCACCACACCAGGGAGGACCGTCGGTCTCTCCACCACCTCAACCTCGGTCGGTCGGTCGGATCAAACGATCCGAAGACATACCAGGGCCTCCCCCGGTTTGGGGTGGTTAGTAGATGTTAGTAGACACCCATGAACCTCCTCAGGAGTTTTGCCCTGAATTGATAGAGGATGTCACTACGGGTATCCAACCTAGGCCCTAGGCAGCTCGGGACAAGACACGCGTCAGCTGTTCTCCCCGTGGCCAGGAGTCCAAGAAACGGGAATATGCAGGACGCCTCTCTGGCCGTCGCTGTTTTGAAAGTGGAGTTGCAATTGATCACCTGCACATCAACGGTGGAACAACAGGCTGCAGCTACAGTAGCACACCTGATGCGAAGAAGGGGGGTGGTTGATATATGCTGATAGTCAAATTCAGCTGTAAACGTTTAAGCAGCGTTGTTCACACGGCCCTGGGTCAATCTGGGTCTCAAAAGACCACAAAAAATGTTCTCTTCCACACCAGGACGGTCGGGGTGCAATGGCGAATGGTGTGTGTTTATCGTCTGGGTGACCCTACACTTGATCAACCGTGGAACATAGATCGAAAATGATCAAAGTAAGAATCTTGCCAATCAGGTGATCTTGAAGGTACCTGGCTGGGAAGACCACCACCAAAAAGGATTACCATGGCAATATCATGCAATCAACCAATCCGGATCTTCCGCGCCCTCTCTCGGATTTCATGTGTTGCTTTCCTCCACTTCCAATCCCTACCCTCTGAAACACCGTCCTTGAGGACTCCACAGCGGTCTCAAACCATGAGGACCGGACCGCCTCAACCCCGCGCGCGCCGCAAAGCGCCGAAGCGCCTGAGCTCGGCCGTTGTTTCATCACAGCTGCCAAGACCACCCTTTCCCCGCAGCAGGACAAGCCCTCACGGCTTCGCCAGCGTCCTCAAGCAGGACATGTGGCTGTGTGTGTGTGTGTCGACGTGTATGTTCACTTGGTGAATCAAATACGAACCCATCAGCGTGTTGTTGGTGGCATGTGCTCAGGTTTCCACCGATTTCCACAGCTCTGCAGTGGTTATGTTTTTCAGATTTATTTCAGTTTGGTCAAGATGCATCTTCAAACTGGCTTGAAACATGCTCCAGCTTCTGTGGCCCATCCGTCCTCGTCGAGAAAGGACGCTGGGAGAAATCTCCTGTAGCTGCCCTGCCCAATCCACCTGGCAACAAAAAGAAACAGAAAACCTCTAACTATGCCAACATCATGTGGGACAAGGTCGAAGAGATCTTGGGTTTTCGGCTGGATTGCTCCAAGCGGTTTGGTCACCAGCTTGTTGCCTGTTGGGTACACTACTATGTTTTGTCCATCTTTTGGCGAGTCGGTGCCCTCACCCAGCATTCCGGAGAGTGAAACTCTATAGAAAACTACTGACGAATACCCTTGGACTCGGAGTATGTGGGTTCTGGGTTTCCACACTCAACTTCAAAGTCATATAGTCCCCTACAGCATACCTCCAAACTACAGTTTTATTTGTTCCTTTTCATGGCGTAATGATTTTGTTCTCGCGTACAGAACCATACCTTTGCTACATGTCCACGCGCACTGTTCCAGCCCGGGCACCTGGACCAATTGCGGAGGGCTTGGACGCCTGGACCGCTGTGGTACCACCAGCGCACGGTGGCGGAGGGGGGGGTGCTGGGCAATGCACCTCTGTAGTCTCCGACTCAAGATAACACAGAAGTGGAACACCTGAAACGACTCGTTTGTAGTGTCAGCACTGGATTAAAGAGACCCCTCTCTAGCCTTTTGAACCATTTTGTTTGCGTCTTTTAGAATCCTTCTGATTCTGGCAAAATTGCCCATAAATTGGTACCCCCAACACAAATTTCCTAGCAACACAAACCGCCTATAAAAACAATTTTGGGTCCCTCCTCATCACAAACACAGTTTATGTTGGGGATGCCTTCTCCACATTATACTTGGAGTGTGGATCCCTCCACAGACCTTCTGAGCTTACCAAACCTTCTGACTTTCTGGCTGGGGAAATCTTTATGAATCCGGTGTTGTTGATCGAAATAATATGAAAAAAAGAGCAGTCTGTAGTCACTGTAGTATAAGTCTTCCGGAGTCTTCCTGAACATAAGCATCCATTTACAGCTTGACGTTTAGCCTGGGAGCCTACTTTCATATGACTCAGCGGCAAGTGCTGATGAGAGGCATGGCACGTCTGAGTTGTCTCAGCACAGTCCTTGACGCATCGAAGATGGGCAAACAAGGTTGAAGAGAAGGTCGTAAAACACATAGCGATGGGTTGTGTAAGTTTATGTATGTGTGTTCTAGGCATTTAGGTTTCGAACCATCAATGAAAAATATGACAAAGCTCCAACCTAGAGCAATGATACTGTATGTATTTAGAACAAGCGGGGGGGGTTCTGTGCTTCCCCAACTCAAGCCGCAGTAAACATCATGTCACTAGGCTCTAGGCCCTGGGCATTGTTTCCAAGTCTGAGACAGTGGATGAATGGATGAATCAAAAGGGTGTATGTATATATATATATAGTCTAAAAACTAATACTCTAGTTTGAGAGTACTTGGCGGTGAGTGGTCCAAAAATCGACGTCGAGATGCCATCTACTTTTCCTCGTTCTGCTGCACTTTTTTTTCTAGGCTCAGACAGGAAAAGTACATGGCACCGACCTAAAGTGCAGCCAAGTCCACACAGTCAAGCTCCATTTGATTGCCGCAGTCATGTTAGATACATTCATATACTACAGAATCTCAATGTGCCTCTACTGTAGCATCTGTCTGCTTCTGCAGTTCATCCTGGAGTCACAGAAGTGCGCGCCTTCCCGCTCTGACTGTCAGTGCGCGCCATCTACTGCGCGTTGTTCTTCTTCTTCCCTTTCTCCTCTCTGGTCTTCCTTGTCTCCCCCATCTCCTCCCTGATCTCCTCTTGCCCCTCTCCACCAATCTCTCCCCAGTCCCTCCCACCCTCAGGCGCTGTCGCCTACTTCCCACCATGGATGTCAGTTTGCGCCATCTACTGCGTGCACAGAATCACCGGCTCCTGGATCAATTACAATAGAACGTAACTTAGAACGCAGTAAACCTTTTCCTGCCCCACCTCCCCTTCCCACTCTGACTGGCAGGGTGCGCCATCTACTTTGCATTGAGTTCCTGGTTTTGTTATCGTTCTTTCCTGTCTCCTCTTTGGTCTCTCCTTTCCTCCTCCCATCTCCTCCCTCATCTCCTCCTTTTCCCCTCTCCACCGATGTCGCCCAGTCCCTCCCGCCCTCCGGCGCTGTCGCCTACTTCCCACCATGGATGTCAGTTTGCACCATCTACTGCGTGCGCAGAAGCACCCATTCCTGGAGGAGGAGCAGGAGGAGGAGTCCCGGCCATGATGAAGACCTGTCAAAACATGTCAAAACAGCAAATAGCAAAACAACAAAGCAAATAAATCAAAGCAAACAGCATCAAAGTAAATCATCTTTGATTGAAGAACCTCTTCGCATCTATGCGCAGCCTTGGTGAAGCAAAGGGCGATGACGTTGACATCACGCAAGGATCGGGTTCATTTCTCTGCCGTGGAATGTTGCGGCTGGCGCTGTGCGCAACATGGAGCGACAACATGTTCACAAGCCGCCCTGCTTTTTACCAAAGGCTGCGGTTTCAAATGCGCGTTGTAACGGCGTGCCCGCTTCAGCTGGGCAAGCGTAAGTTGAGTTGAACTGGGCTGTGCTGTGTGACCAAGTCTTCGATCCTGATCTCTTGGCACATCAGGGATCGGACGGCCATCTTCCACATCATACTGCTCATTGCGGGGGGCTGGATGTACTTGGCACTGCGCAATCTGTTCCATGGCAGTGGCTGCCGCATTGGCTTCAGCAGCTACGCAAACTGCTCCCAAGTAGAAGGCCATCACGTTGCAATTCACCATCTGCGCGGCTTCCGCACTGCCCAATTTCAGAACAAGTTCCTGACGCTCAGCTGGCCCACAATGAAAATGCTTGCGGAAGCAGGCAGCAATTCCCAGAATCAGGTGAAAAGCCGCCGCTCCAGTCAAGGATCTTGAGGTTGCCGGTGTGGTCAACAAAAATGTCATCTGTGTGCGGGTCAAACAAGGGGAAGCGGTGCAGATTCAAATGCATCAACACATCTGCCAGGCAGCAAAAATTAGGAGCAAGAAGGGGGGATGACTTGTGTGTGAAGTGACTTTGCAAGATGTTCTTCATACGTGTCCCCCAGGCAGGTGGCACCAGCTCCCGGCGGAGGAGGAGGAGGAGGGAGGGGCAGGAAAGGGTTTACTGCATTCTACTGTGATTGAATGGGTTCAGCGCGCACCTCCTCCTCCTCCTCCTCAGTAGAATGCAGTAAACCCTTTCGTGCCCCACCTCCACTCTCCGCTCTCCGCTCTCCGCCTCCTCCTCCTCCTTCTCTCTTTTCCCTTCCTTCCTCTCTGATTGCCATGAGCCCACTCCTGGCTCCTTTTCCTCCTCCTCTTCTCCTCTGCCCTCCTTCCTGCTGTCAATCTGCGCCATCTACTGCCCATTAAGTTGCTCGTTTGGTTCTCTTTCTTTTTCTCTGAGTCTGATCTGTGTTCCCTTTCGGTCCCTTAAAGGAAACAGATTTGGGAAGAAGGGAGCAAGACGAGAAAAATTACCTGGCGCAGCCGTTTTTGGGAACCGGGAAAATTTCTAGTAGATGGCTCTGAGAGCCTTGCCTTTTTAGTTACCGGTTTCATCTACTTTTACCCGCGCACATTTGGAACCCACTTGGCTAAAACGCCATCTATAGCCCCTCTCTCACCGCCATGTACTCTTGAAATACTGTATATGTATATTCCCCGACTGAAACTTAGAATGCCGACTTTTTTCTAAACGATAGCCGATAGCATTGAAACTTTGAATGCCCCCCAAAAAGTTCATGCTTTTTTGCTGGTGCTTGAGTCTTTTGTCCAACACAAGGAACAGGCATTCTAACTTTCAGCTGTGATGCAGCTGATAGTAGATCGTGCAAGGCCTTTCTCCCTTCAAAGTTGAGGATATATGTCACAAGGCTCCCAAAAGTGCGTCTTCTGAAAGGTTTATTACATTTCCATTACTTATTATCACAACGCATTCCCCTTTCGAACCTCGGGATACATGTCATGGAAATTCCTAAGGCTCATCGTCTTCCTTGTGCTTTTGGTTTCCTTCCCTGTCCTTTCTGTCCAAAGCCTCTACCACCCCCCTTCCTTCTCATGAGCCTTCTTGAGTATGTCTGTTGTGGGCATTCCAAGTTTACAACTTTTCCAGGGTCCGCGGAGTTTGCTTCAGAAAAGCTCCTGCGCACAGTCTACGTATGTCACGTATGCCTTGGAGCAGTCGGAATCAACTCAATCCCCTTGCATGCTTGTGTTTTCCCTTCCCATTCCTATCTATTTCTTTTCCACTCCTTTCCTAGCTGCATCTCCATCTCCAAGCTTCGTCTCCATCTCACTGGTGTCCACCACAAACTCGGCGGCGCCACGGCCGTGCTGCGCCACGCCCTCGACCAGAGCGTGGGACACGGCACGACCAAAGCCCACCTGGGCGACCGGTCGCTGAGATGGAGCCGTTGAAAGCGTGAGCTGACCGATATTTGTTTTATTATTTGTAGGACTAGGGGGCTCTAAGGGGGTTGTGAACCAAATATAGGTATAAGCCAATGGACCTGCAAACTTTTTCGGAACTAGTCGACTCAGTGATCTCTTGAAAGTCAGGTTTGTTCTAACATCTTCTAGCTCACCCAAAGAATCCAGGGACAACTTGCTATCCCAGAAAACATCTGGCACACAATAAGTGCATCGAAGATTCACACCATGTGGGGAACCCCCATCCCTTCAACCAGTTCTTCCTCCGCTCAGCTCGCTCGCTCGCTCCCCGGGCCGCGGAGCAGTCCAGGGACACTGTAGACATTGGTCTGGGGCAGTGCAGAGACCAACTCCATGACCGACCCGATGTTGGACACTTGCCCATCGGTGAGCCTGAAAGAGGTAGAGTCGGAGAAGGATGTATATACATGGTGTGTCTGCATTAAAATAGGAGGACCACATCCACATAGACGGTTCGGGTCTATCCTATTACCAGTAACAGTGGATGATGATGGTTAGAAAATGGCATGTTAGCAGTAACTGACGGTTACTGGCAATAGGACACTGTGCACATATCAGGATGTGCATACGACCGGCATGGCGCCCGCTTTCCCGGAAGCCGCTTAGAGCAGCAACCCGCCACCGGGGTCAGCTCAAACGGTGGGCAAATCAAAACCTGGAGCAGAATGGTTGTAAAATCTCCATCCAGCTTCTTCAAAGTTACCTTTTTGGAGTCTCCAAGTGACCTTTCCGAGGGGTCCACCACTTTTCACATTAAAGATCACTTGCGACGACAACAGCATCACCAGCATCATGGGTGAGGTCGGGAGGCTTGGGGTGGGGGTGGCTAATGGAATGATTTGCCCATGGCCACATCATCACATCTTACGGTAAAATGAGCTCCGGGTGCGCAAATGCCTTCGCACAAAGCATCACCAGCATCATGGATGTATGGGGTGGAGTGTGCTACGGGCAAATCGGCGTCACAAGCGAGAGCCTCACCTTTCCCAGGCTTAAGTGACCTAATCTGGGGTTTTCCAAGAGGGACTTTCCATATGAATCAACAGCCTACATTGCACTATGTGGTTGGTCGGCACTGCATCTACATGCCCATTGTTGGAACATAATATAAGTTAATATTTAGTTTTTGATATTCCCACACCTTCCCCAACCATACCGCAAAGACCCCCACACAAATGCCTGATGAGCCGGGAAGTTCCAGCCTGCATTGTTTCTTTGTTTCTCTTCAACTGAACCAATGGACCAGCATCAATTCCCAACGAACGGTTGGGGTTCCTTGAGTGCTGAGGATCTCTCTAAGTGCCTCCAAAATCGCCTGACCCCAAACCAGTCACTATAGAAAACCTAGACCACCATGCAATCACGTCCATGGAGGAAGCGCAGGCACTCCTGAAACATCAAAGCCTGGAATTTCTGGATGTCACCAGACCACCCATCTCGTCTGTCTCCCGGCCCCTCGGGCGATGCCCAGACTTCACTCTCTCATCGGGCGGCAAAATCACACGCCGCTGGAAGCCCTCGGGCACGGGGCGCTCATTCAAGTGTTGCAGCGGGCGCAAGAGCTCGGTGCCTCGTCGGTGGCGCACCAGCGCCGGTCGTTTCGGACGAGGGGTACCCAACCAACGGGTTTGGGCCAAAAGGCCTCCCGGAGTGGCGGCCAGTGGCGGCCGGTGTTCCAAGAGCACCAGAAAAAGGCCCGGTTCACGAAGTCTTGAGAGCTTGTCCTGTTTTCAGCCTTTTTCCGACGGTGACCATGTCGCTGTGCCGGTTGAAGGACCGGTCAGCAAGGTGGACGAAGAACGACGTACGGAGACGACAAAACACCATGGGTCGAACCACGCCAAGGGAGACTACACAGGGTGTTCCGACTGGATAGGGAATAGAGTCATGACCAGTCTGCCCAGCCAGGGCCAGGGGATCTACTTGATTAAGATACACCAACTGAGGTTTAAGTGACCTTACAGGACCCTACTGGGGTACCTATCGGATATAGTCGTCTATGTCTATAGGGCCTTTTTGGGGGGGCCCAGATCCAAACTTCCCCCAAGTGGTGCTGGACTTCGACACGTCCCACGACCCGCGGGCGGTTTGTACACACCGTGAGACGTCCTTTTGAGATCGGTACCGGTGTCTTCGCCGTTCGGAACTGACGATGCACTGGAGGCTTGGCGGGTTGGAGCCTCTCTGAGCCATTCAAAACAGAAGAATAGAAGAGGTGGGGAGCTCGACAATGCTGGACAGTCATTCAAAAGCATCCCAACAACACATGCTCCGGTGGTGCACCACTCATCGGAGACACGTCCAAGGGCCAATGCTCAGGACTTCTGTCCCAATCAAATCCAGTCCAACTAGACTGAAGCCGTGGTTCTTTGCAGTGACTTCTGTCCAACTAGACTAAACCAAAGCCCCAAGCAGCATCTCACACAATTACACACAGATTCAACGCGAATCCTCCACATTCCTCCACCGTGTCCGTTTCACCTCAAACGTCTGCGCCTCCCATGTCTGCTTGCACCGACTTCACGTGCTGGCTGGCCTGCACTCTCGGACTCGCCAGAACAGAGCCATGACTGACCAATAGCTGACCGAGTTTAGTCCAACACCTGCACCCGCCAACCTGCACCTCCCTCTGCTGCCGAACGTGGTGACCTGTGAAGTTGGGTGGTAGAAGGACTGGGCATTTTCACATCGAGCATCCACGGAGCAAACCCCGTAGGATGGATCTGGTGATCCGGTTGAGTTGATTCTTGAGAGATGTTTGGGACCTTTTCAAAAGTAGAGAGTATGATTCACAGTATGATCCAAATGTGCAAAATCAATGCCAGCCAATGGATGTATGATTTCGTCTACAGTACCTTCCCTTGGACACTGGTGTAGGGGTCCACTGGGAGGCTCCTTGATTCTTCATCAAGTCAAAGCGCTTGGGAACCCTATTCCATTGGGACTTCCCCCCCTGGTGTTTATGATTCCAGTCTTTAAATATTTGCTTCTTCCATACCTGCTTCACCAAACCACTACTGGCCAGAGTCTGGGTGTGGATGAAAGAAGGAAGCCATGCAGCATGGGTGCCTGGTGTCGGATGCACAATAAACAACCAACTCCCCCTCAGCATGCCTTCTCCAAGGACTTGGCATTGTAAGCCACACTGCGGTCGAACAAAGATCTGCACGTGGCGGTGTTGAGGATAAAAGTCACACATGCGCGCATCCGTGACAAGCTGTCACACGCCGTCTACAACTCATCTCATGAATCTCTGAACATTAAGCCGAGCTGTCAGAGTTTGAACTACGAGCCAGAATTGCCATACCCGGCCACACCCCGAAACAAAGCAAGACAATGAAGGAAGGCTTGGAAGTTGGGAATCATCTTCCAAATGCCCTCTGTGATCTGTTGGGAGCTGTGGCCCGGCCGGAGGGTTACCATAACTGGCTACAGCCAGTGATGGAAAGGTCAGGGTCTCCCGGAGAGATAGACATCCCAACATGTGGCTGATGGAAGTCAGTGGGGATGCCCGCAAGAACGAACGGTGGACTGAGTGAGGTAATCCATGACATGCATTGGGACGGACTTGGAATCAAAGCTAAGCATGGTAGTGTCGTCATCGCCTGTCTGAGACGTCACGATGCAATCGTTCCTCTGCGGTCGCCCTTTTCGATGGATGGCACTAAGACTTGGACGTTGTTGGAAGGCCACGCTCAAAATGTTGTCAAACATGAAAGAATCTGATAGGATTCAAAAATCCGGATGATCTGGAGGTTTTGTGGGAGTTGAAACCTGTGCAACGAAGGGGTTCTATATGGTTCTATATGGTTCTATCATGTTCTGTCACGTTTGAGACTTGAGTGTGGCCTCCCGACTTCAACTCGCTTTCTTGTGCGGACGCGATGTTGTATCCCTGGAAGAACATCCGATGAACATCCCAAGCCCGCGTGGTCCGAGTTCCCGCCTCCAGGAGCTTCCAAAGCCAATAATGTCAAAGCGACAGCCCACTGGAAGGCTCCTGGCAGCAATGGCTCGACTCGACTAGATGTCTGCAAGATGGAAGATGGTGCAGAATGTATTAAACGATGCTCTCCATATCTTTCCTTGGTCTTTTTTTCAGAGATCACAAGCAACACACCGTGCAAAGCAATCCACATGCGGCTCGAAGTGGACCGTTCGATAAGGCACCGTTCGATGACGCCCGGTCGGGTCGCGAGGATGTGGAGGACCGGTGTCCACCGGAAAGGAAGCTGCAGAAACGGACCAAACCAGCCGATTCATGCGCCAGGGCTCGGGTGGAACCGCGCGGCTGACAGGTTTACTGTAATTATTTGCGCAACAGGTGAAACAGGTTTCAAATGGTTGGAGAACTTGATTCACCCCTTGAATCAAGAGAACGACGGACCCGCGGGCTCGGGTGTTGAAATGGAAGAAAAGACCGATGATGGACAGTGGTGACCTGAGTCCGGCATGGCAAGTGAGCGGATAATGGTAGCTGAGGAGAGTCTTGAGAGACAAAGAGGGCAAACTACATGATGAACAAGTACAGTACTCTAGTGGAAAACCATGCACGACAGGACCGCGGGTTGCGGAAGAAGACGACAGGTGAGAGGAACTGCTTCAAAACAATGAAGATGGTCCGCACACTCGTAGCCAAGATTTCAGACGTTCTTGGCATTCCCAAAGAAGGCTGGCTCATGATCCTAATTGCGCAAAAGCTTTGTTCGTCGAACGGTTCGCTTCCGGTCCATCGTTGACCCCCCACGGTCTCTCCTCAGGAAGAGCTGTAAAGCTGATCGGGCAGCGGAGATGGCGGCGCCCTGGCCCGATGCGCGGGAGGAATGAGGGTAGTCGCACCGAGTTGCCAATTCATCCAATGAATGCATAATGAGTTTGTTCTCACGTGAAAAAACACAGTTATTCAATCCAGGTACTACTGTAGTTGTTTTTCTCACGTGACACAATATCATTTTGCATTTCTCAAAGAAGTGGTTCTTGACGTTAAACAAATCCACTCAGAGCGGTCCTCCTTGTCACCTTGTATATAAATATTGCAGCATATTGCAGCAAAGTACCTCCTCCAATTTTGGCTATCCAAACAGGAACCACCAAACCCCTTGTGTGCAGCAATCCTGGCTCTGCCCTTCATCCATGTCTTTCTTTTTGTCATATTGAGCTCCACACCTTTTGAGCCCAAAAAACACTTGCAGGTCTCAACATGGACTCCAACTCTCCCACCGGCCGGTCACCCATCCCTCACCCTGGGCCTGCATGGAGCCGGAGCGATCCAGTAGAAAAACGAACTCCTGCCGGCCAATCGCTGTTGGGCTTGAGGGGCTTTTAAAGGAGAACGACTGAACAAAAATCAACAGCTTGGGCTTGCTTGTCCATGAACCAGGGAAAGCGATAAATTTACTACTCCCACAACCAGGACCAAGTCTCACAAGAGATCCACCCAAGCTGAAAAAAAGATGGCCTAGAAACAGTTGGAAGCCAAAGCCGTTGGACAAGAAGAAGAAAAAGAAAAAGAAGAAGAAGAAGAAGAACAGACAATGAAGAAACATGAGCAGAATAGTTAAGTGGAAATTGTTCTTCACCATCTCTTTTTGAATGGTGCCATGGTGCCATGGTCCATATCCCACCCAGCACCTGACTCACAGATGCCACGCACCGATCTTTGCAGTTTTTGATGTTGCCCCTTTCGCGACTCTGTGGTTCGAGACGGCCTGTTCTCTGATGTGTTTTGATTGAAAACTATTGAACACCCCTCAAACTTCCGGAGTTTTTTTTGGGGCGGTCAAAGCATGACCGTCGAGCTCGGACCTTGGGTAGATCCTCCGTTGAAGGCCATAGATGTTGCAAGGACTTCTCCTCATCAGTTGACATCAGGTGAATGGCTCTTCAGGTCTGAACTGATCAAGAAAGGCCGTCCGGCCGTCAGTACATTCGGAGATTTGACTGGTCAAGAAGAAACTCTAGCTCATAGAACAGCAAGGCCACAGAACTCTAATTGGATGTGAAACATCTTCATGATCTTCATGATGAAACGGGGCTCTCAAAGCCGGGCCTCCGGATAGAGCACTGCATACAGCAGGCCTGCGTCCTGGATCCGATCCGTCCGGACACGGCATCCGACCGAGCCTGGACTCCAGCACGGACCTAGCTACATCATGTGAAGTCCAAGTATCTTAGGTTGTGAACATTTCTGCTCAATAGGGATCCATCCCCATATCATCGATGTTGGAGCTGTAAGTTACACTTTAACATCTGCCAAAGTCACCCAACAAACTGAGTTCAAGACTCTTCTTTAAATAGTGTTTTTTTCCTAAACACAAGCCAATTGGCTGCCGTGCTGTGACTTCTTGCTTATACCCTGTGCATACAAATTCCTCTTTGACTGTTCGGAGCAGCAACTTGTTTGGAGACTTTAGGTAGAAACTCTCCCAACACAAACCACCCGATTCATCCGATTGAAAGGTGAAGCAGTTTCTGATGGAATACGTCCCGCAGAACTAAAAATACTTAAGGTTAGCCGGTTAGCCCTCCATATCTCAGAACAGGTAGTTCTGGATTTGGGGTGCGATCCCAAAGCCGACTTCCACCCAACTCCGTCCAACTGGTTCCAGCCTCAACTGTAGGCTGAACCCAGCAGCGGGCAGCGAAGGGTTCAGCCATGGCCATGGACAACACCAACTCACTCTGGGGCATGGCATCCATGGCCAACTGGCATCGGCCCTGGCAAAGGGGAAAATGATGCTCAGAAATCAAATAAAACTTGCAGACTGACACCCTTTGCATCCACCCACAAATCTGGACATGATCAATGAGTCCCGACTTCCCAAGCGACCATGTTCCCCTTCCAATGCTGTTGGATCGAAGGTCCGCGTTTGTCACAGGTCCACCCGCAACGATCGAGATGCCACCGATGTCGGGCGCTTTCAAAGCCAAGGACAGCCACAGAGTTCCCAACAACTCGAAGCCTCGAAGCCAAAACATATCTAGAATCTGACCCACAAGTCTTCTGACCAGGATGAATCAAGGCTCTTTTGAATCATGTTGATTCCCGCGTTGCACTGCTGCAGATAGACCTAATCGATCCTAATCGATTTTCTCCAGGTGATGAGCATTGATGGGCTCTACCTTCCTCAGCCCCTCCCCCTTTCACCATGTCGCGCCTCACGGCCCTCCAGTTGGCAGTGCATCTCTGGATGACTCGGGCTCCAAAGGCTGAGCAGTGCATTGGGCATCTTTGCCTGCGTTGGGCGTTCTTGATTTCGCCTCTTGAGACTGCGCGCAATGCAATGCCCTGCAGATTGGTTGATTCATGACACCCCCTATAGATCCCTTTTTCGGCCCTATAGTACTATAGCAACAACCAAAACGCAGTGCTGGCAGGATGGCTTTGGGGGAGGTTTTATTCAATCAACAGTCTACATCTAGCGACATCCCCTGTCCGCCCTATCCCAGCCAGAATGCAGCTCTGGAAGACCATGGATGAAATCGGAAAGTTTTCTTGGTGAGTGGAGTTGGCCAAGTACCATTGTCATTGCCGTTGGAAAACAACAAGTGCATACTGACAGCAATGAGGGAAGAGATGTTCCGAGAGAAGACTTAAGGCATTGCGTTTTCAGGAACTTGTTTGGATAGGCCCAAAAACAAAAAACAACGCCACACTCTGCATGGATCTCTAGGCTTCTCTGCCAGGTGCACATCGTTTTGCACATCAAACGTGGCATCCGGCCGGCTCGGCGCGCGTCTCCCCCGTGGTCGGTGTCGCCTGTGCATGGAAGCTGAAGCGAGCGAGGCCTGGACCCTGTGCCGCCTCCATGGCAGTCATGAACTCCTGGCACCGCTTTCTATGCGGTCGTAGCTGGGGTGCACCTGGCACTGGCCATCTGCCATCTTTTGGGAGGGTTCAAATTTTCTGAAAACAGGCTCTGGAACCCCTGCATGCCTCTAAAGCTGATAGCCATAGCTGGGATTTTTTTATGGAATTCATGGGATTTGGATGGACTTGGATGGGATTAAGCGATCCCGGTTTTTAAGCAGTGATGCTTAATGAAACACTCCAAACTTTGGGGCCTCGCTTTACCAGTCAAGTCAATTCGGTCTTGGAAAACCCCTCCCGTTCCGCTGCCCGTCCCTTCCGTGTTGCCGGACGTGCCGGCCGACGCCGGTGCCGACCCAATTTCGGCTCCCGAGGCCCCGTTGGCCCAAGCGGTTGAGCGGTTGGTTTGAACCAGTTGAGTCCTGAGCGGTTGGGTTAACCCCCCGGTATGTGTCGTTCGATCGAATTTTTTGGGAAGACCAAGACGAATGGCCGACTACAGAGAGTCCTCACTAGTGCAGAATGCCACATTCTGCATGTATTTGAATGGAACTCAAGTCGTATGATCTTTAGCACGGTCTTTGTGAGCCTATATAGATCTACAGTATATAGTCTATATATGTTCCAATTGATTCCGAGCCCATCCCGAGCCCTGTAGTTCTTTGAGAGCCAACACATTTGGAGGTCCTTCAAAATTCATACTATAACCTCTTGAAGACACATTTGACCAAGCCAGCTACAAGCGGTTCTAACCACCCAAGACCTGGACTTCTAGTTTCACTAGTTGCCCCACAAAAGGTCTTCACCGACCATTCACCGACGCACCGACGTCGACCTCTCGTCTCCTCTCGTGCCGACGCTGAGCCATTCAGCGGATATCGTGCATCGACAATCATCGGCAAGGCCACTCGAAGTTGTCCATCTGAGGCGCTCCGTTCATGGAGAATGAACCCCGTGGCCGGGGAAAGCTTCCAAGGAGCCTCCCACTGAGGGCTTTTTTCAGGCTCTAGATCTTCCTGGGATTCCTCCGGGGGGGGGTTTGAGTCGAATTCCATTCATGCCGTTTCCATAGAGGTCTTGATCTTCCAGAGCAGGTTCCGCCTTGGTCTTCCAAACCTTGCTGCGTCCAAAACCACTGTTTCCTTGATGGATGTGAGGTGTCCACATCCATAGGATGGACCTTCTAAACACCTTTCCAAGGGCTCAGACTTATTCCCACTCTGTGGGACTGGCCCCATATTTACAGAATTTGATCATACATGGACCCCTTTTCAACCACTATATTTGCAGGTCTATATGCCTTACGTGCCATACTAATACGATACATGGAGTGATTTTGGGATGGTCACCATCATGGTCTTCATTTGTCTTCATGCACCAAGCTCCTTGCGCTCCACAGAACACTCCCATGGTCCCCGTCACTTGGAACGGTTTCCCGTCAGCAAAAATCCCACCCACTCGGGTGTTTCTGGATCCGTGGATCCGTGGGTGGACCCGTGGCCCGGCGCTGAACAAGCGGCCATTCTGATTCTGCAACTCCATGGTCAAGGAGAGATTCACCACCGCCATTTCACCGGGACCGAGCCGTCCCAGTTTCAGCCTGCAGGCGGGCGGGTCGCACCATCTGGGAAGGGATGTCAGAATTTACCGGATCCGGCAAGCCTCAACTTTGTGGTGAAACTAAAGGCAACCTGCAGGTTGACCCCCATCCAGTTGGCTTTTTTTCAAGGGGCTTGGACACCAAATCCATTTGTGCCATCAGGCCATGACTGGCCACGACCCATCACCGCGAAAACGACACTCTCGAAGACAATGCCATGGAAATGTGCTGGCCCCTGTCAGTGGCAGCGACATTATGCTAGAAACCGCCTGATAGTCCATAACTCCCTAAAAGACACGAAACCAAAAGGATGACCTGCAGAAATCCTATGATGCCTATGATCCCATTCGTGGTTCTCTTTCTTTCAGCCACGCGACAACGAAAAAAACGAACAACGACACATGTCGCTACCCTTGGTGCGGTGCGGTGCTCCCGGCATCACCAACGTACCCTGTGCTGTCTGCGGACGCCTCATGAGATCGCCGGAGGCCTTCTCCAAGAGCACCGCCGCCTGGCGCCGCGTGTGGCGCGGAAGTCATGGGAACTGCGTGCGCGTCTGTGGATCGAGTCAGAAGACCAAGGTGTCTATGACGCATCTATACCTGGGTCTTCATAAGTAACACACCCGTGGAAGGTCCAGGTACACTGTAAGCTGGCAATGAGTGGTTCTGGATCGAGCTTCATCAGTTAGTTAAAACCATTTTGACATCATGAACCGACGACGACAGCGACGACAATGCCACCGACAGCGACAATAACAAAACAGAAATGAACAAAGGACTAGTTGGAATGGTAAACATGTTGTGGACCAGCTATTGAGGGTGGCTTAACCAACCTGAGTAGTTATACCCCACTAAACAGGATTCCATTGAACATCCCTCTGGAAGGTCGTAGTATGTCCACTCAGGCCAAAGGTTCAGAACCGCAGCTTTCTCAATTTTGTCGATCTTGACATCAATTCTGATGTCAAGTAAGCTAGCAATCCAGGTACCGTATAGAACATGTCAAAAAGAATTCTAAAAGATGCAAAAAGAACAACACAACCGCGAGAACCGTCTGGTCACTTGACATAATGGTTAAGGCAATGAAAAGAGGGGCCACCGGTGACATCTCCACTCACCCACTGAGCAGTTTGGAACCACCGACTGGACCGAACTCAGCTCAGCCCCGGCGTGGTCCAGACCCCGGAGCCGCCCCACCTTCCTCTCGGCCTTGGCACTCTGAAACTCCTGCCTCGCCTCTTGCTTCTCCAAAACACGGCCAACCTGGAATTGGATGCGGGGATCTCTGGGAATCTATTGAAAATGACTGGCAACTGTGTTTAGAGATCGGAATATGGTATTCCGTTGTATTCGATATCTATTTTGATCCTGGATTGCGTAACAATCAGATCAAATCTGCACATGTTTCGTCATCGAAACCAAGGCACAACGTGGCGTGCGCCGATCTGCGCGTCCAAGCCGGTGACGCTGGCGCTGGGCAGGACTGGGAAGGCATAAGTCACCTCCAACACCACCTGACGTGAGGTACCCCAAGCCTCAATGAGGTCGAGGATGATAGAGGTCCATCCTAGTTGGATTCTCATTACCCGCCTATATCCCTCTATCACCCTCAATATGGAAGGCACGGATTCCTTGTAAGACTATACAATATTCTGGCGCTGGTGCTGGTTCCTGCTTAAATGATCTTAAATGTGTCTCGCCATTTTCGTAACACCAGTTGGACGACATGACCTGTATTTGCAAAGGTTCATTGAACACCAACTTGTTTTGCAGCTGTGTTTGTATAATATATATATATATATATTATATATTATATATACACTTATAATATATATATATATATGGTGGTTGATCAATATTCTTTCATCCTGGAATGGCCATTCATCGCGGAAAAAAAAATATCTTTCGCGGCCTCATCGCGAAGCATGGTCCTACAAGCATGTCTAGCTAACATGAGCCGGAACATGTCATAATAGGGAGAGACATCTTGCAGCATGACCCCAGTAGATGGTTGAACGCTTCCACAGCTACTCAGGGTCACTTGCAGCATCTGTGCGACAATTGTGCCAAATAGAGTCAGGCACAACTCAACCCAATCCTCGTGTCAGCTACCAACAGGGTGATGCAGCTTGGGGAATGTTGGGGGCCTCAAGCTGGGAACCTAGACTTTAGCGGCACATTCGCGAAGCTTTCGCGGATCTTTCGCGAAATTTCACTGGTGCTTTCCCCGGGACGCCGTAACATTTGCAAACATCTGCACAGCCCGTCAGAGCAGCGGCAGGTCGTTGCCTCACTGTCAGGGCTGCGCCTACCCAGCTTGCTAGTATGTGACAGTGGGGACAGGAATCGGAGAATCCTTTACGCACTGCCAGGGCTGGGCACGGAAAGGTTGAGGCTTCAGTTCGTTAGTCTGTGACATGGGGACACTTCGCCCACTGGCTCTGCCGGAGGATTGCCTTGCGTTTCTATTCTTTGTCAGTCCGGTAGAAAGGAAAACAATGAAAGCGATGACCTTCGATAAATCTTTCGCGGAAAAAAAAAGATACTTTCGCGAACCTCATCTCGAATCTTTCGCGGATGGTTCTAACAACATCTGAAAGGCTGTTTTATATAAAACTCCTTACACGGGGTTTTCGATCAACTCCCATATACCTATCAGTATCACGTCAATGTCCACAGATGACGCTAATCACACTATGTTGACTTCACTTTCTTCTCTCTCCATTTGCCCAGTAGCACCTCCGTAGGATTCACGAAACACTGGCTGAAGCGGGCCAGCACTGCAATGTCCAGGATCTGGCAACCAAAGTGTTTTGAGGATGTTCGAGGATTCATGTCACATGTCACTTGACGTGATCAGCCAGGTGGCCATCCTGGAGCAGGTTTCAGAGACCAAAAAGACATCACCCCGAAGCCTCCAGCTCCACCTCCATCGACACCAATGGTGCTAAGACTGGGCCATCCTGGAACATCGCGGGTAACGAAACAGCAGTGAGCACCGACGGGTGACCAAAGACCGGGTCACTGGAGAAGTGGCTAGCCCAAGCAGCAGTGCTTTCGAACGCAATCAGTGCAACTCTCGTGACCTCTGTGAGTAAAAACACAAATCACAGTACACCAAAATCTTGCTCTTTTTGTTGACCTGTTGTGATCTGCAGTCAGCTGACCGGAGTTCTTTTTCTGATATATTCAAAAAACGAAGGTCTCCAGCTTCATCCAACTTCTGCAGGGAGGATTCGGGAGGTTCATCCAGCCTCTTAAGGAAACATAAGGACTTCCCGTCCTTCTGCTGGTCATTTCGTCAATCCCCGGCCTTCTATTGAGGTCATTTCATCTTAAGATCTGCGAGCGACCGTGATGTGATTCAAAGCATGCAAAAACATAACTAGCCAACTGAGGATCTCCCTTCCCAAAGTGGGATGATGTGGCATGATAAAGTTCAAACAACACCAAAATGTTGACTGTGGATAAGACTATTATATAACACTATATAACTGCCCATATATGGAGATGTTTTCTATCCAGGTAATTGCTGTGATGATTCATCAACAATCAACAAATATGGTGAACACTATGACCACCCATGGTGAACACATCCGACTTCCCCAGTCATCCTCAGATTCTCCCAGCAATGCTGCGCCATGACCTCGTGCGCCTCGTAGCGCCTGCACGGTCGCATCCTCCTCGCTCCAAGCCATGCGAAGCTGGTCGCAACGTGCCTCAAGGAGTCTCTTCAACAAATCAAGGTATCACAAAGTTGGCAAACAAAAACAACATAACTTCTACATGTAAACAATGCAACGCAAAAAAAAGGAAAACACATAAAAGTACAAACATGCACTGATAATCTCGGTATGCATAGGCATGCTAAAACATCACGACCTGTTCCTTCCTCTTGTACATCCTCTTGTGAATCTTGCGCTGCAACAACCTATTTTTAAGGATCAATGAATATATATTTTAAGGATCAATGGACCGGTATGTTTGACGTAATGTGATAATGTGCACATAATGTCTGGAATTACTTGTCACTTGAGACGTTTTAGTGGTGTGTTCTGGCAATTGTAATGAAAGTCCTATTGGCTCACAATCCATAGAATACTATAGACTCTAGTGTGGAGCAAACGTGCAACAACAAGCAATGCCTGCTTTAGCAGCTAAAGTTTAGCTCATTCGTGGATGCTTTCTGTCTGGGAGAAGTAACTGCCCAAGGTTTGTCTTTGCGGTTGTTGCGCATGTGGACGCATTGGAAAACAACACGACATGTGCTGAGCGAATTCTTGAAATCAATCAACATCAATCAACCCTTACGCGTACAAAATATGTTGCGCTTTGTGTCCCCTCCCAGCATGACCAACGCCACTGTATTCCCCATCATGTTCACACTTCCAAACTGGCAAGGCCTTCCACTCCTCAAGTTCTTCCATCTCTTCCTGGCAAACAGAAACATTTCACCACATCAGCATCCGCCAAGCTGGGTGCCGCGGAAACACTGAAACTCCTTGAAACCGCTTGACTGAGACGGTCTGCTCCTGCGTCCGCTCTCTACCACAAAGTTCCCAAGCTTCCAGAAACTCCGCGATTTGTTCCTCAGACCTAATGGGTCCAGTGTGCAACACGGTTTGATTGATGGGTTGGCAATGAACAAAACCCAATGCAAAGCAACACATCGAAGATTGAACCGTTCCATGCCGGTCTACGGAATCACGATGAGGTCACGGTAAAAGTGAGATGAAAATGCACTCGGACAATCGTTGACACTGGCCCCTTGGATGACCATTTTCATCAATTTTCGCATGTTCCACAACATTGATCGAACCTGAACACCGATGCAAAGAGAAAACACTGGGGCACGGACAGCTGGTCGGCCATGTTTTGTGCTTGTTGTCTACCGTAATGCTGCAAGTGAAGCTTGAACCAAAACGCCCAAAGCGGCATGATTGCATCCAAATTTTGGAATTATAATTGTTGTCCCGCCTTGCCCCCCCCCTTCGCCAAATATTGATCAATCAACCATATTTGTTTGTCCTCTTTTTGCCTGGCAAACAAATCTTCCGTACATTTTGCGCAGCATCGGCACAGGCAAACAAACCTCAGCAAGCAGCCGCATCACTACATTTGGTGAACACTCACAATCGCAATGTTACACTTCAAGCAATGTGGGACTTTTACATCTTTGGTTTCTGTCTGTGCATGCCACGCAGCTAACCCACATGAGTTCCAGAGACCTCTTTGATGAATCGTTCGTGGAGCTGCCTGCGGCAGTGCTCGATGTGGCTCACTTGCAGTCACCCATCGTAAAAACATTTACTGACTCTGCCCGAAACAGGACTTTCATGTGTTTCATGGCTTTCCACCCTGAGGTGGACTGGACGCCCAAAAGTGCAGGGAAGGTTGAATGTCTGCCGTGAGCCTGGCCAATGCCACACTGGAATTGTGGTCCAAGTTCTTGAAAGGCCCGTCGTTGCAACCTCAACCACTGGAGCAACACTGTTCTCTGTTCAAGGCGGCTCCTACATGGTTGATGCGGGTTTTCGCAGTCGAAAAATTGGACATGCACCTGCCAAACAGCCGCGTTTACTACCGTGTTTCTTTCGTTGATCTTCTGACTGATCTTCTGAACCGGGAGTCTGGCCTTGGGGCCCCTACTGGTGCAACCACATTGGTTGCGTGCAAAAGAAAGTCCACACAGGAACCTTTCCAAGCCGCTAAATTGGAATACCTTCGAATCTTTCAAAGTCTCAACCTGTCAAACGACCCCCAACAATCCAAAAAGAAGGCCCTGGGCACCACATTTGGAATCCCAGCTCCACTGCAGCTGAAGGACCCATGATCGTTTGGAAGGTCGGTGGTAGCTTGATCTCCTGGGGCGGCAGCTCTTTCCCAGAGGGTCGATACCTGAGATCCCAGAGACGCCGATCCCAGAGACGCCGGATCGATCCCTGAGACGTTGGATCTGCGGCTGCCGGGAACGTCACTCCAAGCAACCACTGAAAGGCGCGTGGCTGCTGCATAAAAACGACGTCTCCGCCCGGAGTGGCTATCCATGGTGTCGTCATGTCGAATTGGACCTAAGACCATGCTCGACCTCGATCTTAGGACGATGCTCGAAGGTGTAGACCATGTCGGACTCCGCCTTCTGCGCATTGTAGCCTCGCTGTCTTAATGGGACACAAACGAGGACACCAAAAAAAACAGGACCATCCTGTCTGAGTGTCCGGGACTACCCTACAAATGTATACACAATTATACACATGTATACATAGGATCTCCAGACAGGACACCCAGATGGTCGGATGCTCCTCCATGCTCAGGCAGCCTTCAGACATTCTCCATCCCATGTTGGGAAACCCAAACAGGATGCTCCGTGAGCCCTGCAGGATGCTCCATGCTTCCACCCCGCCCGACCTCGCCTTGACCATCCCCTGGCCGCTTCTTCTTGTCGCGGCGATCGCCGTAGGCGCGGCCATAGCGGTGCAGCCTTAACGCCATGTGTGTGAAAAAGCGTCGGTCTGTTTGAAGGAGAGCTGAGAGACCTAATATGGGAGCTGCCAAAATATTGCAAATTTGGAGAGTTCCAGGCCAGGTGGTGTTTTCTGTTCCTGCGCGGCCTCTGTGTTCTTGGGCGATGCACTCCGGGCGGTCTGTTTCTGTCTGTTGTTCGAGTCTTCATGTATAATTGCCAAGTGAATACTCTTCTCAGTTCACCACACAGCCTGGTACTGGCGCTTGACTACTAGCTGAGGCCTCCACGACCATTCCAAGAAGGGCAAGGTTTCCACGTGCCTTGGGTGAAAGGCCACTGCCCTTGGTGTCTGAGTCCCAAGGTGGTGAAGGAGAGCCCACCCAACCACCTACCCACCTTAGCATTGATGGATCCCTATGGATCGCTCAGGTGCAAAACGAGGGGCACAATGAGTGAAGGATTGGGTCCACCTCGAGCTTGGTCCAAGCGCTTCCTCCGCCTATATACTCCGAACTGATGTAGAGTACAGAAAGTCAAATCTCGATGTTGGAGCTAGCTCAGACCATGCAACGTCAACTTGTTTGGTGGCCTTCGTTCATGAAATGATCTACCCAACGTCCAATCAGAAGCATTACCCCCCCCACCAGCCCAGCTCTTCATCCTTGAAGTTTTGGAGGGGCACTCATTGCACTCTGTCATTGCAGAATCAACTTGTTGAAGTCGGTTTCTCGCATCCGTCTTCAAATGATGCAGTCGAATTGAAAAGGAAACCCCACTCCTCCGGAACTGTAAAGTGCTGTCCACTCCTCCGGTGTTGTACCAAGTGGTGCCAGTGGAGCCCCTCCGTACTGAAGCTACAGCCGTACCACAGCTACTCCAAGGCACTGGAATTCATTCTGCTCAGCTGATCCTGGATAACATCAAGCAATGCAAACACAAATCAACAGCAAGCTTGCACAAACATAAAGATCAAAGGTTACTTCGGGCCAATGCGCTACCAATAGAAAAGAAAGGCTTTAATACTCTAAGAACTTTCTACATGACATAACTAATCCAAGGAGCCCATGATGTATGAGAAGCGCACGCCCACCGCGCCCATGTTGGAAGCGATTTTGACGAGACCGCGGGGCTTCACAAAGTATCGGAGATTCCGGAAGAACCTCAAAAACCAATCCGCAAAGGATCTTCTTGGGACGCTAAATCTTCGTGCAAGATCTCTTACCAGATTAGAACTCCGTACGCAATGATCTCTACGAGAATTCTTTTCATGGGACCTGTAGAACATCTCTATCAAAAACATGCTGCGGAGCTCTGAAAGGTCCTTGTAAAAATACGTTGCAAGTTGCAAGAATCTCCTTCCATAAAGCCTATGCATGCATTCCTCCACCATTTCTGGCCTCTACAAGACCTCTTTAGCTTCTCCGCGGAAGGTCTTTTTGAAGGGTCTCTGCAAGATCTCTGACTGAATGGGTGTCTGCAAAAAAATGTTAGATCTAGAAAATATATTGCACGATCTTTGTTGGAGAGTTCTGCGTGGGACCTTTGCACAGCAATTGCAATATCCCTGTAGTGTCCTTGAGGCCTTCATACTAGCGATGGCCTCCAACCTAGTAGCGATGGCCTCCTAGTAGTGATGGCCTCCAATCTGATACAAAATCTGAACTTCGAGACTCGACACCCACTCAACAATGATCTTCAAAAATCTTCAAGATCCACAACGTGGTGGTAATTCCAGAGGCATGTCCAAACAGCTGTCACGTAGTTACGTATAGAAATCGGTCGCTATTAATTAGCTATCAGTTTTCAGATTGCCGTCAGCCGTGCTTCTCAGTAGAAAATGCGCAAAACACGATGCTAGCTCAACTTCCCAGCCGAGAAACAAGCGCATGAGGTTTTCATGGCGCCAGTTCACGATGGGATGGCTGTCCTCAGCTATCAGTTGGATGGCTGAACCTGAGTGATTGGAAGATTCTAGGTTTGATTGTTGGATCTGCCGCTTGCTTTGTCTTTTGTTGAGAAATCCCCGAGCTATATAGGGCAGAAAATGAAAATTGTGTAAAATGGTTACTTCACCCAGCAGTCGGTCTTTTAGGCCCAGCCCAGTGAAGGGCTGGGGGTCCTGGCCAAAGGATCTTGCGAGAAATCTGCACAAATGACTGCTGCATGCCCAAAAACCTTTCAGTCAAACCAACTTGTTCATGCGGTCCTTGCGATGAAACACTGCATTCATTTCTGGAGGTTGGGTTTAGATTAGATGATGTGCTCCAGTTCCATGGTTGTTGTGGTGTCACTGGCCGCGCTAACATCCATTGGATCGCCAAACCCCCCAAAAGCTTTGGCCCCTCAGATGTCGCACTGCCAAGCCCTCATCTTTGGCGACATCTGATTTCCCACTCCAGTCAACGAATGGTGGTTCCCAAGTCTCATAAAAGCCAGTGACATGCCCTTGACCGGGCTGAAGATCCACCTCATTGCCACACATCATGACATCAGTACTCGCCACGGCGACGATCGTCGGTCCAAAAGATAAATTTCAGCCTGTTCACTATATATATATATAATATATATATATATACACATCAATTATAAATCAATCTATTCCCGCAGATTTTGAGATCGAGTGAGATCGTAAGGCGGTCCCAACTTGACCAACGGGTTTCAGGAACAGGTCGCACATATTCAGGCCAAAATATTGGGAGTATTCCGTTGCCAATATGCTCTAGGAAAGGACTCTCATTGACCACTGTGCAACACACTGGGGGACTTCAACTTTCGCACCGTGGGATCCATCGATGCCAACGTGGCATCCTGCCGCCGACGTGTCAGGCGAGCAAAAAGAATGCTGAGAGCATCTGAGAGCCGAACCCAAGCAGCTCCAGCATGAGGAAAGTTGTAGTACACAGCGCCTCGAGCTCAAAAGAGTACAGAAGGGAACTCCTTTCTGCTAGATAAGGCAGGGGCTTCTTGAACAACAAAAAGTCTGAACAGTCTGCAATGTCAGTGTGTTTTTCTGTTGAAGTGAGAACAACAACGTGGTTATTATATATATATATATATACAGTTATATCATAGTTATATATATATAGTACAGTAGGTATACGTGCACTGAAAACATACGAACACTTGTACTGTTTGATTGTTTGCTTTCTTCATGGACATTCTTTCCCTCACCTTGTGACCTTGTTTGGGACCCGTGCCAATGGAACCCTCCATGTTCTTGAACCGCGGGTCCAGGGCAATCCGCGTGCAGTCCACCTGAAGCAGTCAAAAAGCAGGTGAAGTACCCGGGCTGGTCTTGAGTCTTGCGGCCAACAAGAAAAATGAAACAACGCCCAACCACTGCCACACCTCTGAACTGATCTACTGTTCTGCTATGTTCCGTCTACTTTTGGTGTTGCTGTGCTGTGTTCTGATTCCGGGTGGTTGACCATCTCTATGGTCAACTGTTGACTAATGATCAGCAAACACCTCATGACCTTGCACATATGCGTTTTCTTGTGAAAAGGGGCCTAGCTTGTCAGAGTGTTACGGAAACTGCTTGATCTGGAATGGAAACATTTCTCCACTGTTGAACTGGCCATACTTCCACTGGAGCTGACCAAATGCTGTGAGTCAATTATATTTTAAGATTGACCAGAACTTTTTTTGACAGTGGTTGTGGCCCTCCCACAAACACACAAATATATATATATATGTATATTATATTAAATACATAAAAATACAAATAGATACAAATAATAGTATCAACTAGTTCTCTACGGTACTGGAAACCACACCAAGCCGCTCAATCAGTGTCCCTTACAAAGCTCCAGTGGCAACGATCGACGAATCCTGTCTCACCTGTGGTTGACCAATTCCCAAACACTTAATTGTATGCCATATGCCTAGATTGGAATGGTTCCGGGAGTCTGGCTGTGTCTGGGATTGGCGTGGTCTTCTTCCCCGGTCCCAGCCACCGCCCCGCGAGTACCTCATGATAAACATCCGCCAAATGATCATCGAGCCGTCGGATGGTGTCATCAATCCTAGGGACGTCCGAGTCGTTTAACTGAAGCTTTTCCGATTTCCAAGGCTGACAATGTTTGTCGTGTCCACAAGTTCCAGCAAGTGACGACTGCGCTCAGCGGGGCTTTTTGTGTCTGCAGCACGTGAGGGCATAGAAACTGGTCCAAGGCACCTATAGTCTTTACATTGGATGGACCAACGTTCAAGATTTGGCATCCTTTCGGACAAGGCCTCTCAACTTTCTGATTTGCTTGGCATAGTCTTGAACTTGCCAACCATCTGGCCCAAGGTGTAGCGATAGGTCAAGAAACTACCTCAAAGAATGTGAAGCAATGGGTGAGTCTGATTTGACTCCGTTTGAACTTGAACCTTGAACCGTTTGAGTGCTCAACAGCAAGTGGCCTTCGGCACCACCGTTCGCTTGCTCGACCCCCTGAGATTCCCAACGCTTCATGTTAAGAGCCATCTCTCGCCAGCCACCATGCTCCGTCTGAGAAGGCTGGCAGGTGTGGTGCGAGTTGGGGGGGCAATGTGTGAAGTCCTTTCGGCACGTGCCATCCAAATTTTATGGGACATCCCGCACGCAATACATATTTCATCATATTAAGCAATTTTGCTTTTATACTATCATTTACTGAAGGTTAAAAGGCCCCCCTTTGGTTCCTCCAGCCTAGGTCCCTCAGCATCCAAAGGTCTCTTAACATCTCTTAACCGGTGCCAGTTCTGCATCCCCACTCCCGTCCAACAGAGTCATATCCTTGGACCGAACACGTTTTTGCCATGAGGTCATGGGTCATTGACTAACCTTGGAAAAGGACATGGGGCAAAAAAATGCTGATTGGAAGCAAATCGGAGGCCCCTGACCAATCACGGAAGATGGGTAAACAGAAACCAATAAGATCACCCAAGGACATCTCAGCTACCTTACTAATAGGTCCGCAAATCTCCACTCTTGACCGTCTTGACCCTTCCACAGTTTACTTTGACATATATGCTTTAACACTATCGCCCCCTGAAATAGATTGAAAAGCCCCCAGCACAATGAGGCTAACATAACAGTATCGACAGCATCGATATGTTTCTATCCTGTCTTGAGACCGTGTTTAGACGTGTCTCCCACCATTTTGATCCTTTGGTGCTTCTTATTGTTTAACTGCATGCCGCTGGTTTTGGCTTCAACAGCAGGTCCATCCATGAACACATCAAATCTACGCATATCTACACCCTTGGAAAGGCACTCCATGATTCCAGTGGGTGCCTCCCACACCGACGCTACCCCTGTGCTTTCCCCCCCACACCGGCGAATTCGGCCCAGTCGACCGACCTGACACACCGGAAGCAAGTCTGTTCCGTCATGGGGGTTTCCCGGATTCTGCACCAGCGTGAAGCAGGAGCCCACCTGGAATCGGGGAACCGGGAATGATGCACAGGCCGAAGGACCGACAGGCCGAAGGAAGCAGGTCAAGACCACTCCAAAATTCCCCAGATTGAACTGATGAGCATTACATGGGTCATAGAATGAGATGAATAGAGATCCCCTCTCCAAATGCTGGGCTGCATGCTAGGTGACAGTCAATACCATAGTAAGAACAATAACATCGTAATTCTATGCATCCCCGAGGGAAAAACGGCATGGAAACACCAGGGAGGCGCACGCTTCGGCTTCTCGCTTCTGGCACGCCTCGCAACGGCAGGATTTCTCGTCGCCGTCGCCCTCGCACTTGGTGTTCAGCAACTGCCGCGCCGAAGCCATTCGCTCGGGCGAGGCGAGCCGAAAGCCCGCGCGCGAACAAGACGCCCAGGCGACACGGATCGTTGGAAGCGTCGAAAACCGCTGGCGTTTCGGGAAGTAAACTTGAATACCTCTAAGATCCTCTAAGTCTCGAACTAGATAGTCCAATTGGTATGCCATATCGTGTGTGATTGGTGAAAACGGTGCCATCCAGGATGCTGCACTCTCTTCAAGATCCTTTACACTTTGGTCACAGAATCTGAGGACTTCACCCAACAGTCGGAGTTGCTCTGGCATCGGCCGAAGGCATCTTTGTTTCGGCCATTGCGTCCAGCATTTCCGATCATGCCTGATGCTTCATCCAGGTGCTGGGCGGCCGAAGGCATCTTCACAGCAACACCACGGGATTTCTGGTCTGTTGGATGAATTGATCTGCAATGCCCCAGGGATCATCTGAAGCATTGGACTCTGAAACATATTTTTACAAGAAAGCACATCACTAAGTTCAGGACCACCACCCATGCTGGCAACCACTTGCATGGCCATATCTTGCGTGTCATGTTCCTGAACAAGCTCGGACGTACGCGAATCCACCATCAGAACCCCAGAGGACCTGATCCGAAGCAGCCAAGGATTGAATGACTCTTCCATAAGATAGTTGCCCTATATCTGCCTATATGCTACATATTGCGACATGTACTTCGCTCCTCTCACAACCAAACAAGCCATAGCATTGAGGACTTGAACATGTCTTCGGACACGTTTCACTTACATCTTTCTTCACTGATTGAATCCAGGGTTCACTGGGTTCGCTCTCGTCAGTGTTCCGCCAAAAATAACCTCTTCAGTGAGGGGGGGCCACATCTGAAGATTCCCCAATCCAAACCGACTGGTCGGTGTTGGGCTCGTGTACACTGGAGCGTGGAGGTTTGCATCTCCACCAACGTGCGATGGTTCTAATCTCTAGGCGGACGATCCCACCGTTGCGGTGCCAAGCATCCTGATCGCACTGGGTGCAGAACTTGCCAAACTTCTGGCGAACTCTGGTGTCGCAAATCTTACATGCCTGCCGACCACTGGATTTGTTCTCTCAATCAGGGCGTGCTCATATGGCCGAATTTCTAAAATTGTCACATGTTATTGTCATCATCACACCGTGTGGGATGTGGTGGCCCTGCAGCAGTTGAACCAATTTCACCCTGGCCGCGGTGTAACAAAAAAAACGAAAACCTATAGCCTATAGCTGGTATAGCGGGATTTGTAACATTGTAAGACTCGCAGTCGATGACATCGAGCGACAATCCGGACCAGATGGGCATCCACTGGGAAAAGGAAACCCTCCTCGATAAACGCGAGAAGAACAGCCTCTATAGTGGCCTCTTCGACCTCATCTTCACACGCCGTTCATCTTAGCTTCTTAATGCTTCATATATCTTCTTATCTGGACCACCCAGCCAGGGGGCTTTCACTGGCCTTCGCCTTCATAGAGGACTTTGGTCCCTTGGCTTTCTGCTTGGGCTCGTGATCGCATTGCAACCCTCTGTTGAGGCACATTCTGTAGATGGCTTTGCGAGTCACTTTCCTCACGTCGCACATCGGCTCGCCGTTGATGGGGGGCGCCCCATCAACGGCAAAGGGGTCAACACAACACCAACGTATCACAACAAGACACAGGGCCGTGACCACCTGTTAGCACCCTTTGAGCGGTGACCAAAGGCACAAACATGGCTCAACCCTTGACGAGTCTGACTGGAATAGCCCGCCTCCGTGTGCCGACCTGGAATCTCCTGATCTCTGCAAAAGATCCCGTTTGACTTCGATGCCCCCAATGACATGGGAGATCCTGACCTACACCTGCAAACCATCAAACTAGCTCCCTTGCCCAGCTGGCATCAACACTTTGACTTTGGAGGACTGGCTAGACTTTCAGCCGAATCCAACCAATGATTAATCCAACCAATGATTAGAAGGGCAATTTGAACTATGATTGTTTCCAGTATAGTCAATGGTAAGAACATCATCAATTTTAACATATTTTAACTATAACCGATTTCAGTAGTCAATGGTAAGAATCAGTAAGAACGACCCATGTGGCCACTTCAAAGCCTCGGATCCATGTTTTGGGAAACAGACGCAAGGCAATTCTAAGACCTTTAAGGAAGTTCACAGCACCAGGAGTCAGAAAGGCATGGTGTTTAGTCCCATCCAATCAGTGGATCATGGGCACCCTAGTCGCTTCCATTAAACACTCCGACATGGAACTGCTGGCACAGTCATATAAATATATATATATATAAGTCAAGCATAAAACTGGCGATCGGTTCTTTCAAGTCTTCACATGTGACTGATTGGGTGCGACTCCTAGGGAAAAAGGGACAGTTTCGCTCCCAAGCTGCGATTCCGGACCCAGGACATCCCCTCCTTCCCTACGAACGAACCACGTCAGGTGACCAGAATGATGTCTCCGAGCTGCGCTTCCAAGACCTTCAAGGCCTCCACGGACGTCATGCACTCCGACTCGTCGCTGTCCCCCGCGTCGCTCATGCACTCCGTCCGCTTCTGGGCAAAGACTTGGCCTTTTGGGCGAAGCCACAGACAGGCACCGTTTGGGATGGCGGAGTGGGAGGGAGAAAGGATTGGAACCGTGACATGTATACTCTATGATGTTGAGAGGAATTGGAATTCAAGAATGGGGATGCTTGCGGAGGTCAATGTTTTAACGGTCTAGGTTGAATTTGGCACTTTACCGACAGAATGCCACCATCCCAGTCACTCGGTCTCAAGACTGCTATCTATGTGAGGCAACCATGTAATGTATAGACTGTAGCTTGTTGATTGAATCAACAGTCTGTAACAGTCTGTATTATGTGCACTGCCAAGGAGTCTCTAGTTGCCTATTTGTGAATTCCTTCAGGCAGCCTATCGGATATCGGGTGTACGCCATGCGGAGATCCATCCCGATCCTGGCTTGACGAGAAAAGAAAAAGTGCCCGTGACGCGGGGCGTCTTGACTCCCACTACAGACCGTATCCGCGCAAAATGATTTTCAAAAGCACCGAATTGGTGAAGTGAATCTTCAGGACCTCAGTGCCATAGCTCCAAAAAAACCTCGTACTTCCTCGGTGGCGCCGGCGGCCGAACGCTTTCCGAACGCTTGTGCCTGCATCTGATGTGGATCGCACCTCCCGCATCAGCCGGGTGACAGCCTGGTGTGGCAGGGAGAGGCAACTGTTTTTCTACTTGTGTGGTAGTTAGCCTGCGAGTAGTGACAAGTGGGTAATGAAAAGCTATTTTGTAGTAAAACAAAGTACAACATAGTATAACGTACAATCCGCTCACCAAATTAATTAAGAGTTGTTGGAGATTTCTTGCTTAAAAGAGACTTATCAAAAACTTTTGTCATCTCTTTTCCCATCTCTCTCTCTCTCAATGCCCAGACCAAGGTCCACTCCAAATGTTTGAACCACCAATGACGGCTCTCGTGCCCCCCCAACCAACTGGTCCGCCTTCAATGACTCAAAACCTCAACGAACATCGGTCGTTTCAACGACCACGTGACGCTCCAACGATCCACGTCGGAGCGAGCCTCCAAGGAGAGCGAGCCAGCGGCCAGGTTTTCATATCTCAGCAGTCGGTCCTGTCAAACGAAATGGATATACTAGATGGAATGTGGTTGAACCACTCACACCATCATGCTGGACAAGTTCTTGGAGACGTGGTCCCTGTATGAGGGACAAAGGCAGGCGGAAACATTGGACCAGGCGAATGTGGGCCTGTCATGAGCTTGAATGTCTCACATGTGCACTACTTCGACCTTCCTTCCATTTCGAAGCTACCCCAACAGCAACCCCGAGCCCACCAGAACATTGGCAGCAGCTTGCTGTCACTTCTGTCATGGGTTTCAAGTTCCAGGCTTCTAGGCCGAATATGGTGGCCTTCACCCTCCTGCCACACAAATTCCATTTCAATGTAGAATCCTGACTGATTCATAACCCTCCCAATTTTTGATTATATATGATTATAAAGCTTCTTCGGCATGATTGTTTAAATAATCTTAATAAACAACATTCTGTATTATACGCTCTCACCTTGACACCAACCAGTGCCGGTTGATGCTTAACGCCCCGGCCTCACGGCTCTTCCGCGTCCCTTTCTCATCGCACTTCAAGTCCCTCAGGGGTGGAGTCGAAAGCTTGAGTCGTTTTGCGTCCTGCTGGAGAGTTCTTGTTTCCTAAATCTGGGAGTGGAAAAGGGCTTTGAGTTGGCTCAAGAGCACTAAGTCACTAAGAGCTTTCATGCTATCGCATGAGACGTTGTCAACATCGGCTCTTGTAGAGATGGTATACATCTCCGTTCTGTTTGTACTTCGGTGCAGTTTCCAAAATGTTTCCAGCAACATCTCTAAGCAACAACAAGCACACACTGGATACATGCCACTCCCCACTCCCCTTCTTTTGAGCCTTCGGGTCAAAGTTAAGTTCTCGGATCAACCTTGGGTACATAGAATTACAAGGGCTGATGATGGCTGGTAAAGGCCTGTCTCCAAAATAGTAAATAATCCTTGATCAACTTGTGTTACTGGTCATAGTGAATCCATCCGTTTGTGAATGATCCTTGACCGACTGTTCCTGGCAAGAGTGAATCATCAAACCCTTTGGTCCTCCAAACGCCCGCGAAAATACCACGTGTGATCGCGGACTCGGGGCCTGCCTGCACTTGCTCAATTCGAGTCGATTCGCCTTGGGACCACTGGAACCTGCCGAGCAGCAATCCATAATTCTTCACGTGGGCTCGGCAAAGTCCCTGGAGGTCAGCATCGCTCAGGTCCCTGCAGCGCATTCGCGCTCGCTCGCTCGATGCGCTCTTTTTTTTGGGTGGGTGCCGGTAGCAATTCCTAAACCACAAAGGAACTGAACCCTCCAAGCCACTTGGCCCTAGTAGGCTCTTTGTTCCTCCTGCTTGTCACAGGTCTTTGATCTTCGGATGATGCAAACCCATTCTGTGCTCAAATTAGTGCACTCCAGCCTGCAGACTTCCCCCGCAATATGCGGACCCTCAAGTTTTATCCCACCCCTTCTTGCAAACATCCCCACAGCAGGTTGCTCACATCAAGCCCTGTTCTTTCCTCCCTTTTTTTTCCAATGGCATTGACCACCGGCTCCCCCTCCCCTCTGCAGGGAACCCCAGTCCAGTTGCTGCAAACCTTCAGCAATCCCTTCCGGTCGTTCTTTCCGCCAAAGCTCTGATACGTCCTCCGGGTCTCCTCCTGCTGAATGGTTGAGATAGGACCCCAGCGAGGACAGCCGTCGAAGGCACCCTTGGCATCCTGGCGGGTGAACGGTCTGAGGTGAATGGTCTCATTCTCGCTGCAAAGTCTAAGTCTGACTGAAGATCATGAAGCTCAGTTGTCCCCCAAACATACTCGGACGGTCATAGCAGCAAGGTCGCCATGCCCGCCCACTGAAAACCCATTTATGCAGGGTGCATTGCACAAGGGAAGTGGAAAAAGACCCTCTACTTTCTCCGAGCAGCACATGGCTGTTCCTTGTCTTCGAGGGTCAACCCACCCCCGCCAGCGGCGGTGTGAAAATCAGTGACGGTGATTCTTCAGACTCTCAAGCTTGTCTGCTTGCCTTTGCTGTAGCATTGTCCGTCTTCTTTGCAGTTTCAGGGGGTCTTCCAAAGTTCATTAGCGTGCCGGGATTACCCTGCCTTTCAGAAGTTTGGAGCCAACGCTTGAGAGTAAATCAACCCACTTGGATCCAAGGCCACTTGATGCGATCATTCATTGCTTAGTGCTCCGCTCAAGTGGGTGAGTCTGCTGGGATGCCTCTCAGCTCAAAATCTAGGCCTCGTTCCTCGAAAGGTTGCAGTCTTGGAGGTCCCAAAGCTTTAAAGAATCGTTTCATCCAGCGTTTATGGTGCATGCCCGATGCCCCAAATGCTCCATGCCCATCATGCACCTCCAGCCACTTCCTGTACTCTCTGGACTCCTCAAACTCCTGTTGCAGCAGCGGGGGGAATGAAGAGAATCCCTCTGGCCTCTGAGATCACCAAAACTTCCAAAATGTGAAGGGCCTCAAACTGAGAGGTTTTCAAGCCTCTACTGACTCTACTTCATCACTTTTGAACTTTAGCTCCCCAAGTCAGGGAGACACTGAAAAACAAGCGGGGAAAATCCCAGCTTCCACTTCGATGGTCGAGGTGTTGTGTGAATTTCACCATTGCCATGGCCGTCTGGTTGAGTTCTGCCACACAGTGTCCGACCCAGCCTGATTGTACTTCTCTGCTGCGGCCATCTGATCGATGACTCCATCCTCGGGCTTTCAGGCAACACACTGGCACAACAGTTGGAGAGATGTATATAGGTCCGGTTCTTTCATTGTGCTGCTCCTGCCGCTCCTGCCCCCAAAACGGACAAAACCATGGGTTATCGGGGGGGCCCCTCCTTAGTTCTGCTTAGTTCTCTTAATGCCCATGGCAAAATGAAAACACTCCTAGGCTGGCATCATAAGTCTTCAGTCTTCCACTTCCATTTATTTCCATCGCTTCTTGGAGCTTCTGGGGGCTTTGTCCTTCGGCGCCCTCTGGACTTGGGGATGTCCAATTCGAGCTCAGCGGCCCATTTGGCGATCAAGTCTTCAAGAAGTCCTTGTTTTACGACGCCCGGGTCGGATTGATGGAGGCTGACTCAATGGATGAAGGGATAACAGGAGAGGTGTGCCACTGGAAATGATAGTTAGAACTTGGGGTTCATCTGAGGTGAAAAGGCCTTCTGAGGATGTCGATGGAGCCTTTGGATGAACATGTTGTTTTTTTGTAATGTTTTGTACTGTTTTGTCACATACGCTAAATCTTTCCATGAACTGTGGGTGCGCTGGATAAACTAAACGTGGGTCTGTTTGGAGGAGGCATACCTTCGGCAAGCTGGCATTTATGACGCAACAAATTCCTTCCACTATGTAACATCCATCCTGCAACCAATGACAAACAAAAAAATCATTGATGAGTCTTGGACTAGGTAAACTCACGAAGCAATGGATTTCACACGACTTATCCTGTTATAAATGTAGAATTTTGGTTTTTCGTTCTAGCATGTTCTAGCTACGTCCAATTTCCTTCTAAAGCGTCTTTGGGGGGTATCCAATTCTAACGCTCACCTTTGCGGGTTGTTCCACCGTGGGTTTCATCTAGCGATCTGTTCCGTGTAGATTCCCAGCAGTACAGTGCCTTTGGACTTACGTTTGCGCCTGCAGGGGTGTTGTCACAACTTGGGGGGCGATGGATGCCATGGCTCAAACCGCTATATACAATTGATCCTTTTTGGATGTCCGCCCCACATGACGTAAGACATCCTTTGTGTTCAAAATATGCAATGACTACTGAATGCTCCACATGTTGGTGCCTTTACAATCTTCTGGACATAGTCCTCTTGAGTGTCATTAGGGGAACCTATGGGGGCGAACCTCTATGGGGGTGAACCTGGGGAGCCTGTGTTTGCTATAAGTCTGAGCAATCACAGGTCCTATAGGATGTCGAGAGGTGTCCTTACTGGGGCCAAACACTTGACAAGCCCAACGGGCCCAGCGGGCACCAACAACGGGACCACAAACCCCCAAAGCCCCCCCAATGGGCAACGGACCACCGGGTGACTGGGCCCGCCAACAACGAAATCAACATCCACGTGCTGCTTGGCGTTTCTGAATCTCCTATATAGGAGGTCGAGTCTATACGGAGTGGTAACAAAAGAAGGGAACACAATTGAGGTTATATCTGCTGCAACGGGCGTCTGGAAAACAAACGCCGTGCCGAACAAAGACCTGTCTATATTACACACGGTGGTTTCAATGCGCTTGAAAATAATATTAATCGACCCGCCCTTTTTTCAGGATGGTCACTGCGCTGATCTCGTCACGCCAGGACCCGGCAAGCGTGGCCGAGTGCCGAGGGTTTGTTCCTCTCTTTTTTTTGTTCACAAAAATTCAAGAACACCTGCAATGTATGTTTACAACACTTCGTGTTGAGAACGGCGGGCGCTGGTGCTCACCCGCACGCGGCCCAAAGGCAAATGGCACTGAAGATCCCCCAGCTTCTCCAGTGCCCAAGGCATCCCCAAAGAGAGACAGAGCAAAGGAAAGTCAGCAGCAGCAAAAAAAAGCTGCTGCAAGGAAAGCTGCTACCCAAAAAGCAAGAAACAAGAAAAAAGAAGATGCATTCAAGAAACCTACTTTTTGACAAAAAAAATGCTTGTGTGACAGACTTTTTGGCTTTAGCATGATCAAAA